AGTGAAGGAGCTGTCCCTAAGACAGAGAAATTGTTATGCCAACGGAAAATAATTCCACAACGTGGGACTATAATAAGCCCTGGAAAGCAGAATTTATCTGTTTCAAACTCGAGAATTCTGCTGTTAACAGTCTCATGATGACAAAACAAGATACTTTATTCTTTAGTTTCTTTTTCCTATGGAAAATATTTTCACATCAAGGACTTGTTGACAGGAGGCAATCTACTTTATAAAGACTCAGAATGTGATTGCATTGTACAGCCTGTTGACTGAGTGTTCAATATCAAGCTCTTGACCACTTTACCTGCAAGTCTGGCCCATTGTTATTATTATCAGATCCTTGTGCAAAAGGAAGTGGAATCTGACCCCACAGAAGTGAGGGTGCCTTCTAGTATTCAGCCAATGTTTTGACTGAATTGGGCTGTGTCACTTTTTGATATCCTGGATAGGCCAATCATGCAGAAAGTCACTTTGTTGAGAATGTCTTCAGAGGTATTTTTGTCTTTTTTAATATTTGACTGTTTATTCTTTTTCTCTTATGTGTATGAGTATATTGCCTGAATATATGTATATGTACCCATGTGGTGCAATGTCCATGGAGGTCAGAAGAAGGTGTCAGATTCCCCTGGAACTGGAGCTAGTTGTTAACTGACCTGTGGGTGTTGGGAACTGAATTCAGGTCCGCGGCAAGAATAGCCACTGCTCTTAACGACTGAGCCACCTCTCCAACCCCTGTTTGGCATATTATATAAAATGTCTCTGTTCATTCTTGAAATTTTATTTTATGATTCTGGTATTTTGAAACCTGTTTCAAATTTAGTGGTTATTATTAATATTTTTGACACATGGAATGCATTTTAGATGCATATAAATACTAATTCTTCCACTGTCACTCATCCAACACTTGCTAAACTTGCATGTTATGAGTCTTAATACTACTTTCACTGAATTAATAAGATAAGAACTTTTCTCTTTACTTTGAACAGACATTGTATGAAATCCATAGAGACCCAACATTTAGGTCTCCTTTCACAAAGAACTTTACAGTGGAGCCCATCCTCTTGCCAGGTACATCATAGCCCCTAGCTGAGCATTGTGTGCATGTCAAGTCTGGACATTCATGTACAGTACGAGACAGTGTGACTCAAGAATCCCCAAGTAGTCATCCAAGATGTAATTAGAACTGGCTTGCCTGTTCCTCCTTTCTTCCAAATCTGACACAGATGACTTATCTGCCAAGCTGGTTCCCTGACTCTTGATGTTCCACACCATGATCCCTAATAAGCCATTTGTATCCCTATCTATCTCAACCTCTATTTCTCTATGTACCCAATTGGTACACATCTTCGTTCATCAGAAAAGCTATTTAATTTATGTGATAGTTGATCTTGGTTTCCAACTATCATGGATCAGTAATCAACTCACAGACAAATCTTTGGGCACTTTTATGAGGGGTTTTCTTGATCAAATCAATTGAAGTGGGAAAGTCCACCCTAATATGGGCAGTACCTTTCAGTGACAGCCCAAATAAATGGAAGTCTGGGAAAGGAAAACTTGATTTTGTTTGATTACCTATGTGTTGTGATGGCTAGTTCATCTACCTGTTGACATCTTGCTGCTGTGGCCACTACTGATGTCATTCATGGCTGATATTATCAACATTTGAAGGCCAGTGCATCTGAGAATTCGCTAATGCTTCAAGGCCGACTGCGATTTCACTGATTAGCTACCAGGTCCGGTGTGAAGCCAGTAACTGCTGAATTATCTATTTTGTGTCATGTAAGTCAATCTAATAAACCCCCTTTAATACATATATATATATATGTTCCCTTTCAACATATATATATATTCTCTTTTAGCATATATATTCATAAAATTAAAATTGCAAACATTCTATATGCTCCATTTTTTCCTATATTTTCTAATACAAATTTTTTAAACACGACTCATTTATTTTTACTTAACTTTTATATCCTCCCCCTCTCAATATTTCTCTTATTAGCTTCTAAAAAATTTTTTTTGTTAGCAGAGAAGTTTTATAGAGACAACTAGAATTATATTACCTGAGAATAAGTAACCGCCTTTCCCTTTCATTTGAACAGTGGCAAATGTAATAATGCAAGAATTGACAGGGAAACATACACATTTCACTGATGAGCCATTTCTCCAAGGCCATCTAAGGTCCAAATGATATACTGTTTACAACAGGCCTCCTTGTGGACAGAGGAAGGCGTGTCTCTTTACAATCCAGTCCCCAGTTAGAGCACTTCACAAGTGTTTTCCTGCTTCAGCCACAGAACTTGGGCTTCTTCCTTGTTGAATTTTGAACTTAGACTCTATTTTCAACCTCATTGCAGCTGTTTCACTTAACAATGTCACACTCATTCACCCAATATTTACTTTGCAGTTACTTGGTGAGTTGATAATAACATTTTTCCTCCAGCATTATCCAAAATAATGACAGAACAAACTTTCTAAACCACAGATAGGAAAATTTTATATCGGTCAAACTGGGCCTGATAAAGCTAAAATGGGCATATCGAGATAGATACTTATTACACTGGGTAGGAATCTGAATAATAAAGATTCTGATAGCATTGATTTAAGCAAATGGCAATGTATAATCTATGAAACTTCTAACTTAATAGAAAGCCTCAGTTATCTATTCCACACGATAATTTATACTTCAGATATAGATTATTAAAAAAAAAAAACATCAGCATGCTTATACTGAAAAAATCTGTCGTCCAAAATAGATTGTGAGATGCCTGCAACCTGAAACTAGTCTTAATCCCCCTCTCTTAGTTTAGTGTCTGCACATGGTGAATGCTCAATGGATATTCTTGGTTTCATATCTTAACTGTGCTGGAAATGGTGAACAAAGTGGCCCAAATTAAGAAAGAGAAGGCCATTCAAGTCTGCTTAAAAACCAAAGCATTTTTATCTTACAGAAGCCCTTGCATAAAAATTTTTACCTATGAAAAGGGATGTTCTATGATGTTGGATGTAGTGTGTCTCTAAACTGTAATTTCAGCACACGGGGCAGGAGGTAGAAGCAAGAGGCTCAAAGTTCAAGGCCAGCCTCCAGTACACAGTGAGTTGGAAGCTAGCCTGGGCTACATAAGACACTGTCATAAAAAAAGAAATAAAGTAAGGGATGAAGAGGGAATGAAAGAAGGAAAGAGCCAGAAACAGAGGAACAAAATTCAAAGAAATATGACGTAGTAGCTTGAAACTAAGAACCTAGATGTGAATCCTAGCTGTTTCCAACACTGCTGTGAAACCATTGACCCTATAGTAGAGTATCTCTAAACTTTTTCCTTTAAATGACTACTTGCTCTGCCTTATAGAAGGTCATCTAATGGGCTCAACTGAGATAAAGATTATGGCAGACTTCTTCCTTGGTTAAAAAATATAAATATATATAATCATAGTTATAAATAATGCAATTTACAAGTGCTTTCCTGTTTCCAAATCTATGTTCAGTTTTTATTCATAACTTATTTGTATATAAATGTACTTCTTACTTTTAAATTCCTGCATATCTTTTACTGTTAAAATTTTAAGTTAATTAATGATTGACTTCATGGTGAGTCTTGGAAATGTATCTCAATAGTGGTTAAAATTTATGAATCACAAAAATTTAACATCTACATATCTGCATAGAAGATGAATATTTATGATTGGAAAAGTGAATATAAAAACCATCAGATAGAGAAGACAAATACATAAAACAGTCACTTTTTAAAATAACAATTATTCATCAATAACACTGATATGAATAAAATTTAAAACAGTTTCATAAAATAGATTTAAGTATAGCATATTATAGAAACAATTAAAATATATGCCTTCATTTGCAAAATGTTTTATTCTATAAAACTCATTTCCAAAACAGGTTTTTAAAGAGTTGCCTGTGTATGCTTATGTTTTTATCCTAAGTAACTTATCCAAATTTATAGAAGCTATATCATAATTTCTTTGGTTATTATTGTTACATATATACGCATTTGTGCACACAAATACATGTGTGAATATATGTATATTTTAATAATCTACTGAGTCCATTTTGTGATGCTTGTATGTACATGTATTTAGGGATAATCACTTGGGATTTGATGACCTATCAGGAAGCTTATCCCTGCAGAAAACTGATTCTCCCTCCCTTATCAGCCATTGATTGCCTGTAGCTCTTCATCTAGAGGTAAGACCCTATTGCTCTTGAGAGAGAGTGGAGGATCCAGGGAAGATTGGGGGGGCAGAAATAATGTACCTACAGTACTCATACATAAAATTCTCAAAATGAAAAAAATAAAAATTTAAGCTGAGAATTCAACTTTCTACAATCATCATGATGTTAAATACTTGAGAAATTGGATAAATCAGAGCAACTAGCACTTACTAAATGGGGTGTTAGGACAATGAAAAGGAAGTCTGTACCACCAACAGACTTTACAGCCTTGTCTATGTTTAACTTAGGCTGTAATTATGTAAAAGTTCAAAGTATCTGCGATGCCTAGATAACAAGTGAAGAATCCAATGGAAAAACGGAATGATACAGAGATACTATTGAATGATCACCACATATTTCATGCTTGGTATTCAATGCTTCATTAAACCAAGACAATATAAAGGGGGTAACCTCTGTACCGATTATACACATTGACAAATTGAAACTTAGAAAGTGACTTGTCACTCAAAACATCAAAATAGGCTACTGAATTTACATTTAAATATGATATTTAGGTTGTCCCTTTACTCTAGAATATAAAATGGGGTCAGACCATCATTAAAAGGGTAGTGTGCTACTCAGGCTCTGGATTATGTTAATCAGCATCAAATGATGGCAGGGCTAACCTTGTACTTCACAGTGGATATTCAAATATTATTGGTACCAGCTGTGAAATACTTAACCATAACAGTTCATGATCCAAATCCCAGGAAAAGTGTTTCCCTGAAGCAAAACTTGGTAAGTAGAATTTAAAATTTAAGCCACAAACCTGTTTCAGGCTCAATGGAAAAATAAGGCTGTCCTTCCAAGATACTATAAACCAACTTTGCACTGTTTCCGTAAACTGGGTCATCAGCATCAGTAGCTGTTACATTAGTGACAGACGTACCTAATAAAAAGGAGAGAGAGGAAAAGGAAATAATTAACACATTATTCTTTGCCAGGAGCTAAATTTTACCAAACATATCATACAGAAACCTGTGTGGAGGAACACAAGAAGGAATGAAGCCCCTTTCAAAGGATGGAGATAAACTGCTTTATCATAACTTCAGCAACATCCAAGTCTTTTGAAAAATAGAGAACCACTACATTGGAATAATACATAACGATAACACTTTTAGTTTCTATTATTTAAGATGTCTTTGTAGTTTTCATTTTAAAGATACCCATTAGACTCATGTGGCTTAGAGACTAGGCATATGAATCATATTAAAGAAATATGAAGCACAAGGTTAATAATATCATCTAGCATGTAGCACTTGAGTTTTATAAAAGTACAACTGAATGTACCCAGAAAAAATCCTAGCATTGTAAAAATCTGTGCATAAATACCAAAGGAGTATTTCGCTTCATCCACATTTAATTCCTCAGAATATAAAAGTAGATAGGAGCCACCAATTAATCACCGTGTTTAGGTAATTAGAGTCATGGATAATAGGATGAAAACCTCTTCTCAGATTAATCTTCTCTTTTTTGTGTCTTCCTTCAAGCAACATCTGAGCACATGAGAGCTTGCCTGAACTACAGTATATATTTTAATACAAAATTCTTACGCTCAAGAAGATTAGAGTTTGGTGACAGGAAGAAAGAGAAGGAAACAGACAAACTGACACAGAAATTCAGCCAAATGAAATATCAGCAAGTCCCTCTTTTGAGCCAACACTGGCAGAGTGGTCAGGGACAGGTTCCTAAGGCAGGTTACACTGAAAGCCAATCAGACTCTATAGGCCATATTAATTATGAAAGAGCGGACATTAAATTGGGTTGGAAGCAGTGAGTGAAGAGGTAGATGGAGGGGACATCTAATATCATCAAACTTTATTGTATGAAAATCACAAAAATTCAATTAAAAATAAACTTATTTTTAAAAAGTGAAATTAAATACCAAAAATAAAATGAATTGAATAAAAATAAAATTAAAATTAAAAGAATGTCAAATTTAATCCATAGAAGGACTTCCCAGCAATGACTTAATCTTAAGTAAGACAAAACATGCCCATGAGACCGTAATAGGGCACCTTCTTGACCATAGCTATGCCATGTTAAAGTCTAGGCTGACTCAAGTCTCTAATAACATCAAGCAGTTGGCCCAGGCTACGGGAACACATGTCAGCTAGACTTCGGTTGTCTTGGGAACAGGTCAAAGTATCCCAGAGTGCACCTAGTAGCTGCAGATTTATGGCTTCTCTAGGTTATGCTTGGCTTGCTTCTGCAAAATAGTAACTGTTACTTAATAGACTATAAATTGTTAAGGGAGCTCGTCACCTCTAAGCTTGGGAACTTCAACTTTTCACCCCTGGTTACGGTTTTTCTGTATAAAAGCTTACCCTAGAGATGGCTCAGGGCTGCAGACTTGGGTTCCTGACACCCATGTGTAGTAGCCCTGGCTAGTAACAACTTTCATTCTGATTGGTCTTCTCTGGTGAAGTGCCCCACAACAAGACAGATGGTCAAGTTCCTAAACTGGGCAGAATGTGGGGCATCTGCTGTGATTACAGTCATGGTAGATAACATATATATATATATATATATATATATATTAATTGAGGTTGCTGGTTTCAATAAGAATGTCCCCTAAAGGCTCCAAGCATTTGCCCACTTTGTCTCCACTTAGTTGGTAGAGCTGTTTTGCCAGACTTTAGGAAGTATGGCCATGCCAGAGGAAGCAGGACACTGGGACCAGGCTTTGAGAGTTCTTAGGCTTTGCCTGCTTCCTGTTCCTGCTTGAAGATGCGATCTTGGCTTTCTGCTTCAGCCATCTCTGAGGTCATGCCTCCCCTGCCATTATAGTCTCTCCCCTGGAACTGTCAGCCACTCAAAGTTTTCCTTCTGTAAGTTGTCTTGGTCATGGCATCCTATCATGGCAATAGAAAAGTAATACATTGAGTGACTGGAAGAGTAAATATGTTACCTGGTGATTTAATAAAAACTGCTAGTAAGTGTCACCAATCATGTTCACAAGAAAAATGCTGAGGTAAATATTACTTGCAGAAATTTTTTGCTGGAGTGAATGCTTCAAAATCTCCTGGAGGGTAAGTAAAAGGGTCTAGACTGGAGCATTTGAGAAGTGATGCAGCCACAGCAATATCTCCAATGGATTTCAGGGGGGCGGGGAATCTAGAGCTGGGTTGTTCATTGAGGAAATGGGGACAACCCCTCACTATAAGACTGAAGAACTGGGAAATAAATTGGCCTCTAAGAGCGGAGCCTTGGCCTTAGGCCAGGCAGCTGTCTTTAACCAAGGCAATTACAAAGTGGTGTCAGAGATTATCAGCTCTGAGCTGTCAACTGCCAATGTTCCCAGTGTAGAGAGGAAGACTGTCTTAATCTGAAGGAGATAAGGGTACATCTGAGCGGCATGCCTTGGTGAGGACTGAGACAGGAGAAAGCTCTTACAGGATGTTGTCAATCAAAACATTTCCGAGATGTTTTCGATTGCAGTCACTGTTCAGGAAAATATAATGTTTGTTGAGCAGCTGACAGTCCTACAAAACTGGAATTTATCCTAAAAATGATGATTCTGAAGTTTTGCAAAATGCAGAGCTAGAGACAGCATGCTTTGAATATGACATAAAACACATTCCACCATACGATGTGAACAACTGTGTGCGTGTGTGTGTGTGTGTGTGTGTGAAGACTCACTTTCCCAAGGAACCCCCAGTCTTCCTGGTGAAGATGACCACAGGGTAGCACAATATTGACGGTTATTTGAGTATTACATGGGATGAAGAAGAACTGGTGGTAAACCTTCTAGATGAGAGGAAGATAGTGAGCTAGAAGCCAAAAAATAATTTTAGGATGGGTGCTAGGAGAAGTCTGCTGTCTGATTCTAGCTGAGATCAAAACACAGGGAGCATCTAAATGCCTGAAAGTGGGTGTTGGCTCTACTATGTGAGATACGGACAGAGCTTTCAGGCCATCCCATCATCAGTCCTCTAATTTGACCACTTCTGCTTATTACTGCCAGATCTGCTTTGAAGCAAAGATAATGAATGAGGCATAGCCATGGCTTGATCACATGTCATCCAAAACCGAAGTGTTGCAAATTTGGTAATATCACAAGGTAGGTCTTTTACAAGGTGGTTAGACCAGGTGATGCTTCCTAGTGACAGGGACATGGTTCCTGTATAAAAGAACTAGTCAAGGAAGCCCTTCTCTGGCCTTTCCACCTTCTTCTATATGGGGATTCAGCATCCCTGCCTCTTAGAGGATGCAGCATGAACGTTCTTACCAGAGAGAGCCTTCTCCCCAAGAATGAAAATTCAGTTTCTGTTCTTTGTAAAATCCTCGGTCTCCGATATTCTGTTCTAAAGCGAAAATATTTAAAATACTAAGACTAAGACAAAGGTATACAGTGACCTTTTTTTTTTTGTAACTGATCCATAAGTCTAAAATTCATTAAAAATTCTAAAGAAAAAAAAGGCATAACATGTAAATATCCGAGTGAACTTGTAAGTAATGGCAGAATTTAGACTTGAAGAAAAACAGGGGCCTCTTCTGTGGAGAAGACCACGAGAGAAGTTTGCTTTGTTTAGTTGACCAGAGTGGCTATTGGTTTCTTATGAAGAAATTTTTCCTTCCCATTTTGAAATAATGCATTACCAGATGGAAGAAAAAAAAAAAAAAAGATGAAGTCAGTTCAAGCTTAGCACTTGGTATGACATTTTAGCCAATCTGATGGTCATTTCCAGTCACTAACTAGGAGCTAGGAAAACAGTAGTGAATAGTAAAAGATTGCTACCGTTACCATAGTTATCTCCTGTGGTGACTCTTAAAATTGAGAGCTGGAGAGATAGTTCAGCGATTGAGAGCACTGACTGCTCTTGCAGAGGACTCGGGTTCAATTCCCAGCACCCACATGGCAGCTACCAAACGTCCTTAACTCCAGTTCCAGGGGAATCCAAAGCCCTGTTCTGACCTCCGCGGCATTGCACGACACAGGTGCACTCACATGCATGCAGGTAATACACTCATACACATAAAAAAAATAAATAAAATCATTTTTAAAAAAAACTGTATTTTTGGTAGAATTTCATACTGTTTGAATCTGTGTGATGGGTTTCACCAGAATACTGTGGAGAATAAATAAAATCATTTTTTAAAAAAGCTGTATTTTTGGTACAATTTCATACTGTTTGAATCTGTGTGATGGGTTTCACCAGAATACTGTGGAGTTAAAGGTTTGGCATACAGAATAAGCCTAACTTGTTCTGAAAGATATTTTCATTTCTTCATGCAAGTCATTTTAGCCTGCCTCAATTTCAGAGTAAATATATATATGTATGTATGTATAACTGAGAAATAATGTCTGTAGTTACATAACCCAGAAATTATCACATGCTAAGCCTATGAGTAATATCCAAGTCTCTAGATTAAACTCCAGCTCTGAGCGATAGGTCCCTGGAGTCCCATCTGGAGTGATATGATACAGACAGTGGTAGAGTATTTTATTAAATCTTCTTGGGCAATTCCCATATAACATCATAATTCAAAATATATGTTAGCACCAAACTTTTCAAAACCTGACTTCACTCCTTTTCCTTCAATACATCAATTTCTATCTTGATTACTTTGAAAAGAAAAAAAAATCTTACTTGGGCTTGTTGGTAAAGTGAACCATACGTAAAACTATTCATCTTGGGAAAGGGTCATGAAGACCATTTCTCATTGAGTGGAAGGTGAGGAGATGTTCTTGGGGGTTTGCGAATCTGTAACTGGTCACAATGATTTACATTTCTGTGGTTATTTTAATATGACGTTAGCTCATTGTGAGAAGGGACTTAGGTGTTTTGTGATTCAGTTTTCTCATAGCCAAGATGGTTGTTTCTATTGGGTCAAATGATTAAGGGTCAAATGGGGTAGTAGGAAGCACACAAGAGCTGCTGAACC